TCAGGCCTGTGGCAAGGTTAATTTTATTTTACTAGCGGAACAAAGCCTCGGAGCTCTGTGTCCATGATGTGTCGTCTCAAATCTAGCATCTGCCTTTACATATGCAGAATCCTGCAGCTGGGACATCACAGCTCTACACAATAGTGCAGGCTGGGTGCAGACAGCCTGGCAAATAGCTTTTCAGGAGAAGACCTAGGGGTCCTGGTGGGCAACAAGCTGAACACAAGCCAGTAATGCACCCTTGCAGCCAAAGAGGCTGAAAGCATCCTTAGCTGTATTAGGCATATCATTGCTACCTAGTCAAAGGAAGGGCTCCTTCCCCTCTGCTTAGCTTTGCTGAGAACAAACCTGCAGTATTTCATTTAGATTTGTACAAGAAACACATTCATAAATTGGAGCAAGTCCAGTGGAGGGTCATGAGGCTGGACAACTTTCCTTTGTTGGAGCTAGATTTGTTGAGCCTGGAGGTGAGAGGGATCAGTAGGCATCTTATTGCTGCCTAAAACTGGAGGGCACAGAGAGGACTGAGTCAGACTCTTCTCGCAGTCTCGCAGCAAAAGGACTATGGATAAGAGTTGTAAGCTGCAACAAGAGAAATTCCAATTAGATCTTAGGAGAAAAAAAAAAATCTAGGAAGAATTCTAGGAAAATTCCAATTTTAGGAAAATGAGATCTCAGAAAAAAATCATTTCCACCATGACAGTGGTGAATTATGGGAACAGGCTGCCCAGAGGATTTGTGGAACCTCTATATTCAGAGATATTAAACCTCGAACGCACAAGCTCCTGAGCAACCTGGTCAAACCAGACCAGCTGTGAGTAGTGTATGTGCTAGATGACCTCAGAAATTGTCTTACGACAGACATCATTCTATTATTTTATGCCTATATGATTCAAAAATCCAAAAACTATCATAAAGGAAAATACTTTTAATCTAAATATAGCTTCTTCAAGTCAAAATAAAGCTGGATTGTCTTTGATTTAGAATTGACCAAGCTGGCAACATCTCAGTTTTTTTTCATTGTTTGGGACTCCTTACTCCACTTCTTCTACAATGAAATAACGTAAATCATGTTCTCTTCTCCTTTCAGTATGTCTGGAAAAAAAAATAGAGTTAGTTTACAAACAGTAGATTGCAAAATTAAGCACTCAGCTAAGACTGCAAAAGATTTTTATACAACTTGGCTCTACTACCTTGCTTCCAATAGGCAGTAAGCAATTACTCCAAGGAAAATAAAAGATAATCAGCAATGATGCATGACACGTCCTTGTCACTTCTACTGGGAAGCACAGCACTGCAAGAAAGTACCCATTAGCAGGCAGCAAGTCACTTGGACAAATCATCGGTGCTTCACTACTTCACTGTTTCTGATTTTTGCAAAGGTAACCTGAAGGGAATCAGCTTGGTGAGGCAGAACTCTGCAGTGAGCTCTTCTGATTCACCCCTCCCAGGAACATCCCCAAACTCCTGAACTGCTTCGTGTCTCCCTTTCCCCATGCTGTAAGGGCCCTTACTTTAAGATTTTAAAACACTCTTCTGAATGTGATGACTAATAAGGTGCATAACCATCAGCTATTATAGGAGGGTCTATTCATTATGTATATATATATAATATAAATTTAATTACATAATATATAATACTGTAGTAAAATGAGGAATCTTAAGGTATCATCAACATCTGCTTTCAAACAAGCTCATACAGACTTAGATTACCTCTGATAGACTAGATCTTCCTTAAAAATTGTAAGTACTTGGGATTGCACAGACTCCAGACACAATCTGTTCCAGCACTTAACTAACTCTATAGTTAGAAAGTTCATCCCAATATCTAATCTATATCTCCCTTGTTACAAATTAGACTGATTACTTTTCATTCTTCCATCTGTGAACAAGGAGAACAATTGATCACATACCTCATTAAACTTTCAACCCACTTCATATCTCTAATCTTGTTCTTCACTTTTTGTTGTCTTTTCTATTTAAGATTTCTTCCAGTTTTTCCTCATAGGTCACATTTCTCTCCAGCCCTTTCCTGCTAGTCTAGATATTTCTTAAAATGTGGCATTCAAAGTAATGCTTTGAATATTTTGAAAGTAATGCAGCACAGAATTTGTAAAAGAAATTAGTTCATTTTATAGGACATAGCAGTCAATGCATTCAGAAGAGACATAAGTACACTTTATGATAGCACCATATGGTTGATCTATCTTCTCTCTGTGATACAAGACAAAATACCACCTCCAAATCCTTTTGCACAGTACTGCACAGTAACTACTTTCTCCCACTCTGTACTGGATTTTTCTTCCCTAAAATACTGTTTTTTGATTAGTCTTTATTAAATTCTACATTGTCAATTTTAAAACATTTCTCTGATTTTATCTAAATTATTTTCAATTTTAAGTCCATGCTCAGAAATGCTTGAAGTCCATGACAGACTGTTCTAATAGATTTATATACTGTTTTTCTTATACTCCTTGCTGCCTGTACAGTAATTCATGCCCTTCTCTAATTTTAATCTTATCTCTTTAGTGTTCCCYGCATTTACCCTCAAAAGTACTTTTCTTGAATTTTCGTATCTTTTTTTTTTGTGAATTTTCATCATTAGAAATCTCTAATGCAATCAGAATTTTACTGTATATTCTATTTTCTCCATGGCTACATTTGTGATTTTTATGCTTTTGTTCATTTTCCCCTTAAAATTTTGAATTTTGTTTTTCAAGAATAGCTTTATCTTCTGACTTTGAGTCCTCTACTTTCATTAGAAACTTCTAAAAAAAAAAAAAAAAAAAAAACCTATCTGCTATGTAAATAGTGCTTTAAACAAAATAAATACAAAAAAAAATTCCCAGAAAATTTTTAAACCTATAAACGTGATGTGTGTCCTGCCAGACTGCTTTTCCCAGCAGACTATTAGTGACTGGCTTCTACCATTACCAGTCATGTTCTCTGAGTGCTTCTCACCTTATTTAACCTGCTTCCTCACCTTATGGAATGACTTCCAGTAAAGCTTTACTTGAACTACCTTATATTTTCATTATGATTTCCATCATCCAGATATTCTGAAAAATCCTATCACCACTTTCTGAATCTAAATCTATACATACCTAGTACTATAAAGCCTCTTTTTTTTTCTCTTGCTTGTATATCTGCTAACAGAAGCATAATAAACACTGAAGTTTATTAACAGAAGTTAATAAACACTGCAGCTTGTACCTATAGATACTTACATAGGCACCCTTACAAAGGTGTGCCATTCCACAGCACTTAGCAAAACCAGGCATAAAAAGGTCACCTGCAGGCACTGTAACCAGTGTTAAAAAACATTTCCAAGACACACTTCCCAACACTGCTGATGTTCTCCCAGGAGCAGAGCTGTCCTTTCTCAGCTGGTGGACTTCTTCCCCATCCTCTTCCTCTTTCCTTTCCACTCCAGCCATGACATGGAAGTATCCATAATACCCAATCCATATGCCTCACCAATCCATACCCCAATCCATATACCTCATACCATGATGAAATAATTATTACTCTGGCTGCAAACCTCTCTATATATCATGCAGTTCAGCAGCATCCTTCCTATGTGTATTATATGTGATTTGCAGTTTAAAGTGGAACATGCTTTTTACAGCAGTATATACAGATAAGCATTATGGTTTCAATTAACTTCATAACACTTGATATTTTACTCTAAGCAATACATTTACAAACAAAATGGGTAYGTTGTGCTAACTGTGTATTAATCACTGATAACATAGAAGAAGGGTGGGCTATTTATGTCAGTGCTGCTAAAAGAAGTTCACTTTGCTCTAGTGGGTTCTCTGGTGAAGCAAGTCACTCTTCGATGTGAACAAGGGAGCTACAGGCTCTCCTGCAGCAACAGTTTAATCAATTTGCACAGAACTTTTATCCAAGGAATATCAAATTAGTTACCTGACGTTAACTATGCTCACAGCATTCCTGGACAGTACCTCACTATTGTTATCCCAAACACAACAAATGTGTCTTTGCCATCAAGCTGCCTCGAGTACTTAACATAAGCCAGATGCAAAGCACACGACTGGACTCCTTCAAAAACTCATGGCTTTTTAGAGGATCAAGATAGACATGCATTTGTGGATTTCTTTTTGATTAAGAAAGAACTTTAATTAAAAGTAGATGCTTTTAGTAGATGCCCATCCATGCTCCACCTCCACATACTGTCAGAGATCTCAGAGGGAGCAGAGCCAGGACGGTTCTGTTTCACACTTGGACAATACTTTTCCCTGCCTGGGAATGCCAGGCCCTGGCGGGGCAGTTTCCAGGGTAGGCAGGTCAGCTACATTAGCACGTTGCCCATGGAGCCAGTGAGCTGGAAMAAGGACTGCTTCTCCAACCATCAAAGCATCAGCACTCAAACRTCCTCACCCCAGGAGGTGGCCCCATTGCTAGTGTCCCCGTGGAGCAATGTGGGGCTTTGGGAGAGACCATAGCTCCCATCTGGCCCCAGGAGTTGAGGAAGGACCACAGCAAAACTTGTGGTCTTTGGAAACTCAAGTGGCCAAGTGCACCCACTTAGACATCTCAAAAGGGAAGACCTAGATAAAGAGCTACCAGCGTTTCTGCTTACCTAGGAGCTCAAATTATGAGCCCCCAAGAAAACTTGTCTATACTACCAAAGGTATGTAATAGCTGCTGACAGGCTCATATGACACATAGCTTTGTTTTGACATCTAAAGGATTATTTTCAATTATTTCTTCCTGGACAATTATGCTTATTCTAGCCCCATAATGTATTATGTCAGTCATCTCTGGACATAAAACACTTTAACAGTGTACAGTAAGATTTTTCTTCTGCTCACAAAATATCATTGGACCTATAATTACATTTCATAAAACCTTGGTATCATAATATAGCAGTCTCTTTCATAATGTCTCTATTTTTACAAAATAATAAAAAGCATATATGCATTATCTCTACAGCTTTAATTTATTTCTTGTCTATACAAAGTGTCAGAAATTTTGTCAAAAAAATTGATGCATTTTACAAGGAAACAACTAAGCTAGTGTAATATCTTGACAGGGCCATTACAAAATTGGGAGCAGGATAGGATTAGTTTTAGTTTGAAATTACTTAATTTCACCACATAACTTTGCTAATGGTGAGTCAATAATCTTTGTACCATTTATTAGCTCATTTACTTTCAACTCCAAATTGTTTCACATCATTTTAGGGGAGGGACCTCCCTGCCTAGGAGCTGTGTTGGAGGGTTTTTTCTTTTCTCCTCCTCTCCACACTCTCCCCCTTACCCTTGCTATTGCAGACTGTACAAATTCCAGCAAATCACCAGGTGCCTCCAGAATTTGGAGAAGAATCCTTTTTTCTTGAAGGCAGCTACAGAAAAGACTGTAGCAAAAACAGGTGCTTTGGTAGGCTTTATACAAAGTATACAGGTTAAAAAAACTGAAGGAAAAGCCATATAATCAAAGTGGATTTATATTTTAAAAGAAACTGATTTCCCTCATTCACTCTCATTCTCCATGGTTTCTCACATGTCTTAGAGTTTACGGGTATGAAAGAACRATTGAACGTCCAATACTTGTCCAAGATTACTTCTTGGGTCACAGAGGGCAAGGAAGAGCAACTGAAAAGTTCTTATCCTCTCTTTTTGGATTCATGCYGAGTGCTGATGATGATTCCTGAGCTTTGCAGCCTCAACCAAAGGCGGCAGCTCTGCAGAGAAGGACCTGAGGTCTTGGTAGGCAACAAGTTGAACRTGAGCCAGCAATGTGCCTTCACAGTAAAGAAGGCCAATAGTCTTCTGGACTACATTATGCAGAACATTGCCAGATGGTCGAGGGACGTAGTCCCTCACCTCAACTCAGCCCTAGTGAGGCTGTATCTGGAGTACTGATCTCTTTCCAGGCTCCCCTGCCAAGACATAAACCTATGGGATTGAGTCCAGTGAAGGGCCACAAAGATGGGATAGCACTGGAGCAGCTCTCATATGAGGAAAGGCTGAGAGCGCTGTGGCTGTTCATCCTGGAGAAGATGGGGCTCAGGGGAATCTTCTTAATACCGACAAATATCTGATGATGTGGTATCAAGAGGACATGGATCAACTCTTCTCAGTGATGCACAGTGACAGAACTGAAACACAGGAAATTATTCTTAAAAAATCCTCATTTTCTTAGTATGCTGGTGCCAAGAGTAGAATTAGTTTCCTAGAGTTTGTACAATCATTTTTGAACATTTCAAATGCAGTTCATATTTAAAAACAATGCTTACCAGTGTTTTAACTGAGTGTTACTAAATAGCTCAGTCTCCCTCGCTCCAGAACTCTCAGTTAGTCTCATGCATCCTGGTAATAGGATATGAGATCATTAACCTGTAAATCATTGGTTMAAGTCTCAAACAGGTCATTAGTGACTAGAAGGCATTAGTATCTAATGACTGGTTTCATTCTGATGGACAAATAGTCACCAACACATATGGCATTAGTAAGTTATTTCAATAGAGACGTACAAAATGAACCAGTTCCAGATTTTGCTTCTGCCAGTCTGAGATGCCAGCCTGTCTCCTTAATAAACATTGAAATTAATATTTTTTGCTCTCTTTCCAAATGTAATTCAAAAAAAAATTCATGTTTTTAAGGAACAGGATTGATTTTTCTAGAGAATTGTATCTTGCGACCGATTCACTATGGTCTAAGAGAACACAACAGCTAATGGACACTTTTCCCATAGCTGGAGCCTTTAATATCATCTCTTTCTTTCTCCTGTGTGAATTTCTCAGCATTACCAACACCTGGAAATCACAGTTGTCCCTGCTAATGTACAGAATCACTCTGCTCCATTTGCAGTAAGCCTCAGACATCCATGGTGACAAGATCCAAAGACTAGCAGGATTCTTGTATGTCACAGAGGTTATACTCGTGCAATCAAAGCCAACTATTAAGAGAGTTTTAATGCAACATATTCCAAGAAAATCCTTGTCATAAACATTGCCAGACACGTAACACTTCCAAAGATCTCTAGCAGATTTAAGTTTGAAGSCCACATAGATCACTGCAGAAAAAGAAAAAAAAAAAAAACAAGACAAAACAAAACATACACATATTGCGTTTCTCCTACTATTGAGAACACAGGACTAGAAAAACCTTTGATCAAGTATGATATAGTTTTTCTTTGAAAGATAGGAAGCACAAAGACCAAAAAATCTCAAAAAAAAAGTATGTCAGAAAGGGAAATCGCGAAAAATTAAAGCTATCAAGCATGCTCAAAGAGCTGATAAGAAAATTTAAATGAATACATGTAGTAGATCGAAGAAGCAAGACTTTATAGGCTGCCATCTGACCACACAGATACTATGCAACCATTCCCATGTATTTACCATAAGTTATTATAYGAGTCAGAAGTCACATACTGACCTTTGCAGTCCATTAATTTTATTTTTTCCTCCTGTTCAATTATTGCAAGACCTTGAGTCATTGTGGGTAACCCCAGGAGAATTGTAATTAAGAATTAATATAAAGCCAATGCGTGGTGCAAAGCTCTCAAGTACTTCTGTCACCATGTGTTCATGGTAATGMAACCATGATGAAGATTTTATCGCTGAGTAAAACACTTTTGAATGTACAGTCACTGACCTGCAAATTGTTCACATGGTGAATGTATTAAGATATTTGCCTAAAGATCTCTCTCACAACTGAGAAATAAGCCAGGCTGGTTTTGAATAGGATTTAACAAAGTAATCACCACCTACAAGTTTGAAAAATTGCTATCCATATGCCTCCTGCTGCAAACTGGGCTTAGGTATTCAGTATGTAAAATCCAATTAAGAAATAGGGTTTAGAGCTTGTGTTTTTAAGTTAATACCTTTCAAAAGCAGAGAATTAGGTTCCCAGTTCTTTCATATCATTAACATATGTCTAGGTAGATGCATGAAGGAAATACTATTCCAACAAGACTAATTGCGCAACCAACCAGGAGAACAGAGGCTGAACATTTGCAGTTCTTACCCTTTTCATTTAGCTACTCAATCACATCTTTAAACACCAGGATGGCAGAGAACAACATTGCACAGCAAAGACATCTATCAGAATGAACATTTCAGCATGCCCCAGTCCTGAAAGTCTGAGGTAATAAAGCACACATGATAGTGAAGGTGCATAGCCAGTAGAAAACAAAAACAACAACAAAAAAAAACTAGACTGGTCTGGCTCATAAGAAAACAGCTACTGTGAAGAAAGCTACCATGGAGTCTCMAAGACATAGTCCCTTTCCTCCCATTTGCCTGCAGGTACTGCCTCATAGGCCTTGTTCTGCTTGGCGGACATTGGCTGCACTTGCACCCTCCAGGCCTGCGTGGAGGGCAAGGCAGGCCCAGGGAAGGCCATATAACCCCCATACCATATCCCACAAAAGTGCACACCAGGCAAGRGCAGCAGAAAGCCAAGGCTCCCTCCTGGAGTCTCCCTCTTTACTTCCCTCCCCAAGGTCCTGGGACAGGCCCACCTTTCAGGTGGGAACATTGCTCAGAACCTCACAGAATCAGGCCTTGAAGGACATGGAAGGTATGTGCAGCTGCTGCCTGCATTTTATCTAACCTGCATAAAAATAGGCTACTTCAGTTTCCACAGCAAGCAGTTAATCTTCATAAGCATAACCTACATTCTTAGAAGGAGGAGGTGAAAGAAAGAACAACTCTCTGGAAGTTTATCCTCTGACATATTTTTCTTAAACTGACAGATTACATTAATAAGACATAAGAGGATCTATAYATTAAAAATCCTTTATTTAAACTTTAACTTTTTGATCTACAACAAACTGAAAAACTCAGAAAATTCAAAATTATATATGATATTTTATTTAAAAAGTATAAGAAAAAAGAAAGAAATAGAAACATAATACCCAAAATGAGGAGAGCGTAACACTTTCCTGTTGAAATTCTTAGCTTGTGTTGGTTTAAATCAAACAATTAACATCATGTTCTGGAGGCACACAAAGCAATGCTTCTTGATTTTCCTGGATTTGTTTCCTTAGGGCTTGACAGTGACACTTAGATGTAGCTCTCAATAAAGAGTAACATTTAGTTATGCCACGTTAGGAAAGAACCTCAARGGGAATTCACAGGTTCCTATTTTTTTCCCCCCCACTCAGATGGGGAAAGCATTTCACTGTACACTTAGGCTGTGGCTTATTCCTTTCTTCAGATCGAAGCAGCTCCACTATGTGAGGCACAAAGAGGAAGGGAAGGCAACCTAATCATCTCCACTCACTCCTCACTTCGGACACTTGTGAGAGAGAGAAATGACAAGTGTGGCCCATGCCATGAGGTCATGGTACCCCTGAACAGAGCCATCCGAGAAGAAAACAAAAAGCATGGGAACTTGTAGTTGCCACTGCTGTACCACCGGATGGGAATCGTTGGATTTGACTTTAATCACCTCCGATTTGACTTTAGTCACCTCCTTGGTTCAAATGTCAGAGCTAAGTACTTCAGAGAGGACTCATTTTCCCAGCATAAGAAGGGATGAACCTCTTTCAAGGACCTCCCATCTTTTTCTGACTATAGAGCTGAAATTAGGAAAGATGAATCCCAGTCATTCTGTTTCTTGCTTCTATAATAGCAGTCAAACACAGTCACATATGACTAACCTGGAGGCAGTATCAGATTCAGTGGATTTCTACCTGGAATACAGCTAGGCCATTATGGCAAACCTGAGAAACACTAGGTCCACTGCATTTGGTCAAATACAAACATCAAACTGGCTTTAAACATATTCCAGCTACTACCAGGTAGAAGTATGCCCGATCACATAGAAAATAAAATTCACATATAATACTGATAGTAGACTAGTTAGAGAAGATACCACAAAAGAAAACACAGGACAAGTGATCTAAAGAGCTAGATTGTACAGACCATTCAGTTCCTACATCTSAGACTATACTTCATATATTCCCTGTGCAAATTTATGAATCTTTTACAATGGGACCAAATTGGCAGCAATTGTCATGTTTTATTTGGCTGTAAAACACACAAGAAATTACATGGGGGAGATAATTCRAATATAAAACCTATCAAAATCAAAAAAGGCATTTTCCTCAGTTCTCACAACACCCACCATATTCTGTGATCTTCAGATTTAATGTCATATATTAAGCTTTGATTCTTTACTTAATGCAAGAGGTTTAACCTTTACAGTAGGTATTTCTAAATAACAAAGTAAGGTTCACCACCTCCAAGCTTTTATCCAAGCACAGATCATCACAGCAATGAAACTATTCACCCTGAAGTTAGCAAGAGCATTCACAGATAATAATTTGCAGAACAGGGTCAGAAGGGAGACCAGAATAGTAGGCTCTCTGATGTCAAAATGAGCATGTATACCTCAAAAACACTGGCCTTGAGAGGAAAGGACTACAGAGTCCAAAGGAAGAGAAGTCTTTTCTGTGTGCCATGGAATTCAGCCAGGTCACGTGATAACACAGCCCATGCATGCCCAGAAAGTATAACCATCTGACATTCCTTGCTTTTCCCTAAGAGGATAAATGGTTCATGTGAACTTCTAGCAAACAATACTGGGAGAAAAGGGGAATGAGGTTTTGGAGGTGAGCTATAAAGTTATAAAATTTATGACCTAGAAGCCACAGCTCTTGAGTCAAGAGTCCAAAACAGTTCTGTTGCTTTGACATTACAAGTCCCAGCTGTATGGAAATGCTCACAGCCAGTAAGAACATAATAGGTTGCCATGCCAGCTCTTGCTAGGTAATGAAGCCTCTCCAGCGAAGTGTTCACAGMCAATAAAAGTAATAGCTGAATTTCACTTATTTCCCCTATGCATCAGCACACTTCTGCACTTTTATATCTCTGGAATGTATGCATTATTAGATCCTTGTATGTACCCATCACTGTGGTGTTCAAGTGCTGTTCATCTTGAACCAATGCATGCTATCCAAAATACTCAATATCCAGCTTTAATTTTGCAGTTTCAGGCCATTTGTAATTGTTCCATATGCTTGGAAATGAGCCGGTGAAGCTTTCTTGGCTTTGCTCCCAACCCTTCCCATATTTGAGCAAGTTGTCTAATTAAAATAATTATGTTTCAAATATTTTTCTCATGGTGCCCAGAGGCCTTCTGTGCTTATAAAGTTAAAAATCATCATATCCTTATCCTTTAGTTATTAAAGTATTAACTGGTAGCCACTGAAAGTTCATTTACACATTTTCCAACAAGAATGTCCTCCCAGTGACACCACATGGAGAAWCTCTTCCTTTTCCTTTTGTGTCCAAGCATATTACTTGCACTGCAGATCAGTTACCGTTGGAGATCTGATTTGAATTATTCCACACTGATCCTCCCTGATGCCAGTGAGCTATACGGATTATATAGCAGAGATTGTCATGGGGATGGGGGCATCCCACAGACCAAAAGCAGGTTGTTTGCCTGAAGTGTTTATAATCTCCAGTTTATAATCCAGCAGCCCCATTCACCCAGCTGACAATTGCTGCACATCCGTGTCGTCTGCACTGGCATCCTCCAGACTGTACTCCTCTCACTGCTCCTGAAACAGCTGTTTCCTCCACAGATTGTCACAGCCATTAGTCCCTGCAGATACAGGCAGCAGCTTTCTAAATTTTTCCAAGAGTCTATCTTTGACTGGTCTTTCCCAAGGGGTTGTTGCAAAACGCAGTCCTTCTGTCTGGAGATACAAAAATATCCAATAACCTAGGAGATAGTATGGGGATCCATCTGTTTTGCACCCTTTAGCATAGTTGTTCCTCACAACGTGGCAAATATACCTTGGCAAGGCACCGTAGCAGAGTGAAGTCCCGCATCTGCAGAAAAGGTACATTCAGGGCAACAGCTGGGAAAGCTTCCCCCTAACGCCTGCTTTTTAATCCTGCCCTGGAGAGATGCCATCCAAGTCTTGCCATTGCTGCACTCTTTCTAACAACAGTTGTCAGCAGTTGACCATTTTCCCAGCACAGATGGACCCTAGACAGCTGTAGCCAAAAGTTATTGCTAAAAGCCATTCCCTGGTACGCCTTCAGTTTGCAATTCATGCTCAGACTCTTGCATTCCAGCAGCTTTTGCTCCACATCACTTACATCAGCTGGTATCAACATCTGGCCCAAAGTTTAAAGCTCAGATCCAGCTGAATCAGTACAGACTACAGCAATTTCTCTCCAGTGCAGAAGGCTCCTGAACATCATACCAAAATGAAACAGTTCATCAATTTAATGTCTCATAAGTGTTTGGCTTTTGGGCCTTATTCAAGATTTCCCATTTCCTAGCAGTAGTGCTATAGCCTGTCAGGTTTGAACCTGGCTTTTGGGGAACTGTACAGCCAAGGACAAGATGAAAGGACAGAGAGAAGACATTTAGATCCATCTAGGCTGGCAGACCCATGTGAATGCCATGTAGTAATAGCTTTCTCCAAAACAGTCTTAGTGAATGTGCTGAACTGCTGCTAGCATCGACGGAAAAAGAGAGCATATGTGCAACAGTTTCCCACATTTACTCCAAAATCATTTGAAGTAGGTTCCAGTCTGACAAAATAGGTGCTGTATCGAGTATCTCTGGTTCTCCTGGCATTACCTACACAAACACTGCTAGTGAAGTTGATCCCTGGTTGGAAATGGGACAGTCTTTCCTGCACTGACTAATCAGAGTCATCACTTCATTAGGACTGAGAATAAAGCAAAGGTTGTTAAGTTTATTTTACTTGGTTTGCACAAGGAAGAATGGAGGAAGGCTTTGTTTTATGTTTGTTAGAGCTTGCCCTGATTTGTTCCTGTTTTACTGCTATAAATCATAAATAGTACCATTTAGCTCTGTGGTACTATTCTGGTATAAAATTGTCATGAAATAAAAGCAAATTACCTTGTAAATAGAATAATGGATAGAATWAAAAAGAACAAAGATCATAGGTCATCATAGGAACTGTTGCTGAGACAGGTTTTACATAAGATTATAATTTTTATGCAGTTGTGATGATGGTAAAAGTGCTAGAGTATTTTTTTCCTGATTTATATATCATACATCACATTTGTCTATAAATTCACAAAATATCCTGGAAGCCTTAATGAAATACTAACCACAATTCTAAATAAAACGCAGCAATTAAAATTGAACAGGAATAATGCTTAGGCTAAACTTTGAATCCACAGAATCAGGGTGGTTAGCTTAAGTTCCCTTGACAACCTGTCCACGTACTCGCTCATAATGTGTGTATGCAAGAAATGGCAGAAGTGGAGTTAAAAGTTGTCATGACAACTTTACTTCTAAATGCTGTCTTTTGTGCAATGGCCACTTAGGGATACATGTTGCCCAGCAAAGCTCCTGACAGTGAAGTAGTTTCGCAGAAGTAGCCTGACAGATCAATAACCTGGTTTTAATTTTAACAGAAATGCATTATGCAGCTATATAGCCAGAGAGAATAAAGACTGAAGATATAATGAACCCAAGCATCAGCTAAACCAGATTACTTTGGGTCTTGTCAATATGCTAGTAAGACTTTTTTTTTCCAGTATCCCTCACTCTTCATATAGAAAATATTCAGATGGTATCCAAACTAGCAACGATGACATATTCATTTGCCATCTACAGTTTCAAATATTACCAAGCTATTTAATTTGTAAGGAATACAATCAGAAAATGCCTCCTCCCAGATGAAACAGGATAAGCTTTCTAACACTAGAGAGAGACTTGTCTACAGTGGGAAGTGTATGTCAAACCTCCTGCATAAAACATTATCTCCTCACACATGTTAACCTCTGAACTTCACAGCAGGAAGTCTTCGACAGATCATCTTTGCCTCATTTTCCTAGGAGARGAGCTTTTACTGAAAGTTTGTAAAGTTATGAGAAAAAAAAAAAAGAAAATAAATAATAATAAAAAGCCTTCACCTTCTGCTCTCTGTTCTTGCAAGTCCTCCCTGGAGAAAGAAAGAAAAAATCTCATTTGATCTTGTAGCAGATTTTATCCTGTAAAATATGATTTCTAGTGGTAAACAGTGATCTTTAAAAATGTATTTCATCTAAAACACTTTAAAAATCATAACTCTGAGCCAGACAAGGACTTAAATCCAGCACCCATGTAGATTGGAAAGCTCAAATTGCTTTCCAGTTTGAGTTTTCCTATCTGCTCCTGAAAATGTCACCAAAACTTGCTGATAAAGGAAACTCAGAGTAGAACTGCAAACATATCATTTTTGTTACCCAGCATGCTCACCTCAAAAATGTAATCCTTATCCTGGAAAGCACTGCCTGAAATAGGAGCTCTGCTTTATCACCAGTGTTTGTAACAAGCAGAATTTGCAGCCCACAACTCTGGCTCCTGCACACAGCAGAAATGCAGTAGCACATTAAAGAGCAACCACAGCAGCACACTATTAACTAACACCAGTGCCCTCCACATCCAATCCAGACCTCACCACCACTAACAGAGAAAGCTTTTACTTTTTAAGTGGATCCACTGCCCCCACAATCTTCATCTGCTCTGCATCAGACTTAATAGCAGCCCACTTCTTCAGAGCTGCTGTTCTCACCTAAGCCATAAACTCTGTGGGATCATGGGCCATGTGACCAGAGTAAAGGAGATTATCCACGTGGTGCTAAAAGGCTGATTCACCTGCCTGAGGGGAGTCCCTGCAACTTGGTTAATACGTGTAGCTGTTAAAAGCCATTGAAATGTTCGTGCTGAAAAGAAAAGCAACTTTTCTGTGTGATTGGTTAAAATAACTGAACAATGAAAACAAAGCAGAGTGAAATACTTACAAAATAAAAAAGGAGGAAGACAAAGGGTGAAGACATCCAGTTCTGAAAATCATCTTAAATCAGTCTTCTCTCCCCTACTGCTTTCTGCTCCTGCTCCTACCCCTTCTCTGTTTCCTATCTTCTCAATGTAACTTATAAARATCTTTGGGCTCTACTGTCAGTTTAGCTTTACAAATCCTCTGGCTGGATTTCCTGAAGTCAAGCAGGCTCAGTGAAGATCACTGGGCTCAGCTTACTCCCACTATAATCTCATCCAAATCCATAGAGTTACATGAAGGATAAGCTGGAAACAGTGATGTTTTCTGAATCTTCTGACATCCAGCTTTGGAGCTCCATAACTCCAGACTGATGATGCATCCGCTCAACGGTTTTCCAGACACAGTGGGGGATAACTGGAAAATATGAGCTCCTTGGGTGGCTTTCATCATGACAGTTACACTACATCTGCCATACATCAGAACAGTTCCCATGCATCTTACCCAAGATTCATAACAGCTCTCAAAACACCACGATACTTCACGGGTCTGAAAAACAAATTTCTCCCTAGACGGGGAAGTGTATTTCTTTAGCTGCAATGGCAAGGAACACAATGTACTTTAGTGCAACTTAACAAAAGAAATGATCTGATTCCTAGAAAGCCTTTTSCAGTCTCTACTTTTTTGATCTATAAACTCTGCAGCTGTTTATTTGCGAAGCGATAATCCTCTCCCTCTGTCTCAGCAAAAACTTTTTTTCTGTGAGATAAAAAAAATAGTTTAAATGAATCTGCTGTATTGCTTGTGAGTAGTAATAACAAACTTGCATCAAGGCTCTGTTTTTTTTTTATTATTTGCACTGCAATAGTGCTGGAAGCATGTTGCTGTCACTGGATGTGATCATGCTTGGATATGTATATATAAAAACACATRGGGTGTAAGAAACACTGACTGATCAGGCACATTGTCTCCTAAACGGAAGAGGCAGGAAAACAAAAAGTATCCTAAAATAAGATTATAAAAGACTTCAGGAAGTCATCTAATACATACTTAGCTGTGTAGCAGGTTCAATTATTTGTCCTTTCATCTGTTTTATGCATGGAAAATCAGCCTTGTGCCCATGAAGCCTATTGGCTGCTCTGGCAGAAACAGAAGTTTAATGTAAATCTCTCAAGTTCTGGTAGATAGTGTCCACAAAATATTTTATGTTAAGTGAACTTCGGGGCCTCTCAGGAAGTTGATCATAAACGTCCTCTCCACATTTGTTCCTATGAAATGGTGAGCTAAAACAGAAAAAATCTATATAGCATCTAAAATTTTTTATTTGCTCATGCATATTTTTATRCATAACTGTTTGTGTGCTCGTGCATACTTTAGAAAGCAGAAAGTCCACAAATAGGTGTCTATGTTAAAATATCTCCACCTTATTTATCTCAGCACATTAGATACTCATTCTTCTTTCACTATCAGTAAAAGCGCTATCCTATGCCATACATAATATATGAAAGCCACGCTATACAAAAAAATTGCAGAAGATAAAGTACTAAAATCCCAAAGTACAATATCCCTGACAAACTTTTACACACTACAGTACATCTTTTCCTGTGTATTCTGTCTGTTCCACAAAGCTGCGCACATGCCCAGTATCTGATAAGCTCATCCTTTTAGTCACTTACTGCAGATACTAGTTTTCTTTTCAATGAGGAAGGAAAAATAGTTCTGAGTTACAGGCAGTTTCCTTCCCTTTTCTATTGCCATGTTATTATTGCTTCTTTGAGCTGAAGTGTAATCACCTTTCATAGGTTCCTGTTTCCACCGCCTGTTTCAAGTAAGATTCACACATTGATGCAACCTTGGCAAGATTATTATGACTTTCTTCTTTAATATAAATCTTTTGATTTGTTGCTCAATGGACTGGTCTCAAGTATCACAAGGGACAATGCTGTTTATGTTTTCCTCCTGAAAGCATCCATCCACATCTGGACGTTACAGCACTTTGAATTTAGAAATCATGAGATATAAATGTGCCTCTATCAAGCGTGAGTAGAAATTAAATTAATAATGTTTATTTTACACCCAAACTACCTTTTATATTTACTTCATGTCTAGGACAGCTAGATAAAAATCACCACTCAAACAGACAGCTAACACTGAAGATATTTTCTGAAGAGACAACCTATAAGTTGAATTAATGAAATGTAGATGCTTAGAAATAAAAATATAAATAATTTTACTTCGTCAGAAAGCTAATGGACCGTTTCTCTCCCGGAAAAGTCAGGTTTTTAAGCCAACACATCTTAGGAGAAGTGCCTGACAATGAATAACTCTTGCTTTGAAGGAGACTGGCAAAATTTTAAAAAATGCTTCATTATATTATTTTGAAATGATTGCTTCATAATGTTTTTATATCCGCATAAAATATATTCTATACATTAAAACTGAAACAAACAATATAATAGTTCTAGTCTCAGCAACTTTCAGTTTCCACCAATTTTGTTTCCAATTCACAACTGCAAGCACATTTCAGAGCTGTTGATTTTCCTATTAGATAGAAAGTCTGATTCCAGTTTYAGGCTAATACTTACTTTTTACCAGATAAATGGTTCTTTCCACTAGCCATCCTCCTCTCCAGGCATAAGCTTTTATAGTTAAAAAGTTGAATATTAGAGCATACAGTGCACTTGAACACAGCAGAAGTTGATGCAGCTGAGCAACAAAAAGTAATATTCTTTGCTGCTGACAGTGCGTTAAAAGCATGAAGCACATTAAATCTCCATCTCAAGCTGCAAAATCAAGTTATACTATAGTTTTTGAAAAGATCCCCAATTGACATAAACCAGTATGATTCCAATGACTTAAAAGCATCATCACAGTGTGACTTGTTGGTTCCAGCTAAGGCATTTCCCTGTATAGCATCAAGATCTGCTTAGGCATGGCCCTATTAAGATATGCCATTCTCCACCTCCTCCTTAAAGAGAACAGACCCAATGGGCCTGCAGACCTTCCTAACAGATTTTGCCAGAACGTAACTCAGAGCACAAAATTTACTAATGGGATGAAATGTGGCAACTCAGATGCACTGGGTAACATAATAAAAATTTAAAGGGAGTTTCCAGAGGACTCCACTCAAACTGRCCAAGCTGAGGCAGTCTTCCTCCTTGCTGCCTCACCAGTTCCTTTCCCCCAGAGATATATGACCTCCCAAGGAAAGAGATTCAGCTAAGGCTGAATAGGTGCAACCACGAAGCCAATGAAAAGCTTCAGACTCATCTTGTATACAAAATTCCATCCATTCCTGTGATTTGCCATGTCCCAGCCTCTCTCTTTCTCTAAGGTCTCTGCAACAGAAATGCCATCCTTTGTTCCCATCAAGGTCTCACCTCAAGTTGGGCATCTCTAGGCATGTAAAGGAAAAGAAGATCATGAGTAGTCAGCATGGATTCATCAAGGGGAAATCATGTTTGATAAACCTGGTGATAGCCTTCTGCGATGGGATGACTGGCTGGCTGAACAAGGGGAGAGCCGTGGATGTTGTCTACCTTGACTTCAGCTGGGCTTTCAACACTATCTCCCATAACATTATCACAGGAAAGCTCCGGAAGTGTGAACTGGACRGGTGCACAGTGAGGTGGATCGAGGGCTGGCTGGCTGGCAGAGCTCAGAGGGTAGTGATAAATGGGGCCAAGTTCAGTTGGAGGTCTGTGGCCAGTGGTGTCCCCCAGGGGTCAGTACTGGGTCCGGTGCTGTTCAACTTGTTCATCAATGACCTGGACAASAGCACAGATTTTGCAGATGATACCAGGCTGGGTGGAGTGGCCGACACTCCGGAGGGCTGTGCTGCCATCCAGAGGGACCTGGACAGGCTGGAGAGTTGGGCAGAGAGGAACCTCATGAGTTTCAACAAGGACAAGTGCAGGGTCCTCAGGAATAACCGCAGGCACCAGGACAGATTAGGGGTTGACCTGCTGGAAAGCAGCTCCGCAGAGAGAAATCTGGGTGTCCTAGTTGACAAGAATATAGCCATGAGTCAGCAGTGTGCCCTCACGGCCAAGAAGATCAGGGGGATCCTCGCCCGCATCAGGAGGAGTGTTGCCAGGAGGTGGAGGGAGGGGATCCTGCCCCTCTAATCAGCTCTGGTGAGGCCACACCTGGAGTATTGGGTGCATTTCTGGGCTCCCCAGGACAAGAGGGATGTGAAGCTTCTAGAGAGGGTCCAGCCAGAGAGTGACAAAGATAATTAAGGGACTGGAGCACCTCTCCTATGAGGAAAGACTGAGTGAGTTGGGCCTGTTTAGCCTGGAAAAGAGAAAGTTGAGAGGGGATCTGATCAATATGTATAAGTACCCGAGGGGAGAATGTAGGGAGGATGAGGCCAAATTCTTCTCAGTGGTGGCCAGCGACAGGACAAGGGGCAATGGGTACAAAGTTCCATCACCATATGAGGAAAAACTTTCCTGTGAGGGTGACAGAGCCCTGGAAGAGGCCGCCCAGGGAGGTTAGAGAGTTTCCTTCTCTGGAGATCATCCAAACCTGCCTGGATGTGACCCTCTGCCATGTGCTCTGTGTGTCCCTGCTAGAGCAGTGGGGTTACTAGACGATCTCTAGAGGTCCCTTCCAACTTCGACTATTCTGTGATTCCATATATGCACAATATTATGCTTTTCC